TTTATCAACATTTTTAGGAAGAAAGCTATGATTAGAAAAAAATACATTCTGAAATTAACATTGCCACGATACTTTTTAAAGAAAACATATTCAATTCAATTCAAAGTATAAAGTTAAACTAAGGATAGAGTAAGATTTTTTTAAATCAAAAAAGGGGCATAAAGATTGAGAAGCACTACTTTTGAGACCACTAAGCCTGTATTATGTAATCTGCTTTTCTGACAACAGTGAACTGTTAAAAAAAAAATATTACCAGGTCTTTATACTACCTCTAATTCTTAAAAAGGATCCTTGGACTTAAAAAAAAAAACTTTTATGACCGTTCCTTTAAATTCTGTTCTCCTTTTAAATGCTTTTTATTGGGGGGGTATAAAAAAAAAGTATAAAAAAAGTATAAAAACTGTTTATATCCTGAATTTTCATCACAGAGAATATAATATCTTTTATAGAAAGTTCTGGGTTGTAGCAGTGCTAAATATAGAACATTTCTAATACAAAACTTTTTTTTTTTTTTTTTGGTAAAAGGTGCTGATTTAAAGTAAATTTATGTGTACTGTTATAAAGAAAAATACATTATAATTTTGTCTCAAGCTTGAGATAGAACTTTGGTCTTTGTCCTAAATTGGTATGATCTTACATTACTATTTACAGGTGGAAAAGGGATAGAAGTGGAAATAAAATCACCCACCCTATTTCTGGGAAAAACATCTTACAGTTTGTTGCAATCAAAAGGAAAGACTGTGGAGAATGGGCAATCCCAGGGGTGAGCATTAAAATGAAATCAAATTAATGTTTTAAGTTCTTTTTAGTCACTTTATTTACTGCAAGGTTATTGCATATATATCTGTTCTACTCCATTTATCCTCTATTCCTCCCCACTTCAATTAGTTATTCTTTCATCATTTATCATTGAAATTTAATGTCATTGTCAATAATAAGTGTAGGATAATACAATGAGGCTATTTGAATCTGAGTCTAAATCTGAAACCTTTGGGAAAGAAAATGGACTTTGTAGTTAGATGTAGGCTTGTGTCCTGGCCTTCACACTTTGAGCTGGGTAATGTGGAGTTCTGACTTTCATCTTTACAAAAAGGATGATCATATTTACTTAATAAGATTACTAGAGATAGCATACAAAGCAACTGGTGTAAAATAGGTACTCAATAATGTGGGATCCCATTTCAGAACTTGATACATACTCTAAGCCAAAGGTAAGATTTTTAGCATTATTTTTTGTTGAATTCTGATAATTTTAGATGTAATAGATAACTTAGATCAGCTTAAGATCAACTTGCTATATTCTTTCTTGCCTCCAGGCCTTTCTTCCTTTGCTTTTGTTTGAAAAATACTAGGAAAGGAGTCTGATGGGCTCAGCTAACCATAGGCCAACCCTGGACCAATTACTGTGATCAAATATATGAGATACCCTGATAGGCTGCTTTTACAAGAAAGAAATGGTTTAGAGAAGAACATATGACAGAAGAATAGAGATCATGACTGTGGGCAGATAGAATAATAAGTATCCGCTGTATCACTCAGTAAATATTTGTTGAATGAATTAAAGCTTATTACTTTTTTTTTTTTTTAAAAAAACAAAAACAAAAATGTGACTCTTAGGGGATGGTGGATCCAGGAGAGAAGATTAGTGCTACACTGAAAAGAGAATTTGGTGAGGAAGCTCTCAATTCCTTACAGAAATCCAGTGCTGAAAAGAGAAAATTAGAGGAACAGTTGCACAGACTCTTCAGCCAGGAACATCTAGTGGTAAGAAATGATGGTTCCTAGGAAGGATTTAGTACTGTGTGGATTAGCGAAAATTAAAGTTCACCTGGAAATGTGGTAGATAATTCTCTGAATAAAATGAAATACTTGTATATTTGTTGTAGATATTCATAAAAACAACTTAAATTGTAGTAGAGCTTCACCATAAATAGATTTTTACTGAAAGTTTTAGAGCCCACTTTTAGGTCAGTTACATCATTTATTATAATACCTTTTTTTCCTCCTAGTTTTTCTTTAGGTGTGAACTAATGTGACACTGAGCTCACCCATCCAACAGAAAAACTTTAAAAAATTTTTGCATTAATTCAGCTCTTTTGAAAGGACATTTACATCTGAAGTTATGTTATTAAGAACGTTTCTGGTTGATAACCGTTTAAGTCTCATGTCTGTTTTGTCTACGTACTCTTTGTAAATATTTTAAAAATCACCTTATAAGGAAATGTACACTAATTCTAAGGAAAAGGACAGATTTTTTTCTTTTTTGTTGGCTTTTGTTTGGATTGCTTTGTTTTTTTGTTTTTTTTTTTTCCCTAGAATTAAGATTTCTTAATTTGTTCTCTATATTGTCCATTTCTTTGGGTCACATTTGTGTTAGATGGCTAGATCCAGATCTTGTCATGTATTAATAGCTTAAATATTAGTGTTTGCTAACTTTATTTATAGATATCTTTTATTTAACTAGATGAATCTATATTTGTATGTCTGAAATGATAATTGCAGAAATTATTAAAACAGAAGAATACTTAAATTATAGAGACTCTAAAAAAATCTTATGGCCAAATATGATTGTTATAAAATTCTGATATTAGAATCTGAGGTGTTGAGGGTTTTGTGAATTTTAAAGCAGCCTCAAAAGGAATTTAAAATAAGCATATGGAATGCTACATTAAAGGTTCTATGACATTTATATTTCTTTTATTATGTAAAAAACACATAACATAATTTACCATCTTAACCATTTTTTAAGTGTACAGTTATGTTAATTATATGTGCACTTCTTTGGAACAGGAGATTTACATTTGTGATTATAATGCTTCTGTTCTATCCACTCCTATTTCACCCTACGCTTTTTTTTTTTGTCTGCTTCCTTTTAAAAATAGATATATAAGGGATATGTTGATGATCCTCGAAACACTGATAATGCATGGATGGAAACAGAAGCTGTGAACTACCATGATGAAACAGGTAATTTTACTTATGTTTATTAAATTAACTGAGTTAAAGGATCAATTTAAATCAAGCAGCCTAGTAGGGCAAAATTAAATTTGGATCATTTTACCATTTTAAGCCAATCAGCTATTGATTATAGGATTATATTATATGAAGCCAAAATTGTTGATATTAAAAGAATACGTAGAAGAGAGCCTTAAAAGTATTACCAGTAACTAATTTCCTTACATTCTTTGGTACCATATAAAATTAAGATTGAATTTATAGACTAAAATTATGTGCCTTAAAGTTGTCAAATTATATACTATGAGTCTATTTGTGTAAAACAAGTACAAAAGCAACTGGAGATTTGGGTAGGAAGTATGGCCAGGATAAAAGAAATAGGATATATATTTGTCTTACTATTTGAAATAATTTTATAACAAGCATGCTTATTAAAACATAAGACAATATGAAAAAAATTCCAGCTGTTGAAAGAATTTAAAATGAATGCTTTTTCTGGTCTATGGATTTAATAATTTGTAGGGAGTGGGAAAATAAAATCTGTTATAAAAAGAGAAGGGAAATCTGTTATCTGAAAAATTTATTATGATATTTAATTTATATATTGAATGGCTTCTCTTGAAACATATAACTAAGTTGGATGACATTTTATATATTTTGTTTTTATCAATAGCATAATGAAATGAGGGTATCATATCAGAGAACTGAATGTCCTACGCATGACTCTTTTCTGAGCTGTGGGCCCTTGTGTAAATCACTTGTTTTCTTGGACTCTTATTTCACTTATAAAATTGGCTGGAACTAGAAGATCTGTCAATTTCACATTCTTTACTTTTGCTCGTTGAACTTGTAAAAACTCCCAGCGCCATTTCCATTACTGCTATACAGCTACCCTAACTGAAGTATTACATGAGTTCATTCTGATATTTAGAACTTAGAAGAAATATATCAGGGGAGAAATATGCAAATCTAACTTAGAAGCATATGAATTAAGTACCGATTAATTGAACTGTTTATTTTTGGAGTGATCCTCTAGAGGTTGATTATATAGTTTATGAGTTGTTTAAATCACTGTTTTCACTCTTCTATTCTCTCTTTAAACTTAAAATATATGTGATCTGATAATTCCAAAATCTCTGCTATATCTGAGTCTGATTCTGATACTTGCTTTGCCTCTTCAGATTGTGCTTTTTGCGTTTTAGTGTGCCTTATAGTATTTTTTGAAACCTGGACATGATGTATCTAGTAAAAGGAACTGAGGCAAATAGACCTTTAGTGTGAGGTTTTATGTTTGAGTCAGGTTATACTTATTTATTATTTGCCATAATTATGTCAGAACCTTGTGTCAGCCCTTGTTTTTGTCTCTTCTGTTGTGTTTGGGTTTCCCTAGAGACTTCTTAAATAAGGTCTGAGCCATGCAATCCTTTCAGTTGTATCCAGCTGTTACTATACAGGAGTTCTGTTGATGTCGTGATAAGGAGTAGGGGAGGGGACTCATAGGAGAATCCTTTGATTAGGTCCTTCACTCCTAGTGAGCCTGTGCCCCTGGGCTACGACCATCATGCCTGCTTCTCAGCAGTTCCCCCTCCCCCTCACATGCCTTAGGAGGGACAGGAAGTCTAGAGTTGGGCAATTCTCTTCCCTCAAGTTGGGTAAGCCTTAGTAAAATAGTTTTCCTTTAGGGCAGAAGGCTTCGGGGGTATTTCAGAATGATTACTTTCTAGTTCTCCCTGCTGAAAGCAAGTGGGGATTTTTCTCCAATATTCACCATAAGAACCTGGTATCATTTTTGGAGGTAAAACTCAAGAAAATGTGACCCCTCTCCTACCCTCACCCCAATCCTGGGCCTCCAGAAGATTTTATGTCTAAAATTAGTCCACAGATTAGTTTCCAGAAATTAAGTCAATTACCTTTTAAATGGTCTTAACACTTGCTGGCTGTGGTGGTGGGCTTCTGTGTTCTCTGTGTTTGCTTGTTTCTCTAGTTTTCAAGATGACAGAGTTCTTGGCTTTCATTTGGTTCAAATTTTTTCATGTCAGCTTGGTAGTGATGACTTCTAAACTTTTACATGTCAGACTGGACCTCTTTAAACATTTTAGAATTTTGTTTTGTGTAAATTATAAGGTGACCAGAAGGGAAGAGGGAGGTAAAAGAACTTCAGTCATTATTAGTTCTGATAAAGAACATGTTGTTAGAGTACATTGTTATTTAGATAATCAGATATTTTAATTTAACTTTTAGATTCAGGTTTATTTTTTAATTCTGGTCGCCATTGATGGTTTGATGTTGTCGTTGTGATGGGGATACACAAAGAGCTGTCATTTGAGATGGGAATTGAGAAAACTTTGTGCTAAAGTATTCAGTTGGTTCTATTTTTAAGTAGCTTTATTATTTTATTTTTATAAAGCTAACTATTATAAAGGTAATAAGTGTTTATAGTAAGTTATTTAAAAAATAAGTGATGTAAAGAAAAATTAAAAACACCAATTATTTTATTTCCCAAAGATAACCAATATTGATATTTTGCTTTTCCTTTCAGACCTCCTGTAGCTGTTTTTAAAATAAAAACTGGGTTCATACTATACGTTCTGTTTTGTTATTTGAATTTTCACTTAAAAATGTATTATGGACATTTTTTCACATCTGTATATGTAGATCTGCTTCATTTTTAATGACTATATGGGAATCCATTGTGTAGCAGTTCTCTCATTTATTTAATCTGTGCCCTGTGGATGGAAAGTTTGGATATGTTCACTCATTTTTTTTTTTTTTTTTTTTTTTAGTTATAAATCATGTTGCCCTGAATTTCGACAGGCTTGTATTTTTATTTTCTTAGGGTAAATTCTTTGAAGTGAGATTGCTGGATTGTTTTTCATTATTTCCTCCGTATCTAGCACAGAGTCTGGTGCATAAGAGGCACTCTGATATTTGTTGATTGAATGCTCATCAAAGAGCATTTGCTTTTTAAAAGCACTTGAAAAATATTGCCAAGTTCTACAGAAATATGCCATTTATATTCCCAGTAGTGATTGTGAGTCCTTACTTTTAAGTTTTGGTAATTACAAATATTTTCTTTTATGGTTTCCAGTTTGATGTCATGCTTGGAAAGGTACACTTACCCTAAGACTATAAAACAAATCACCAATAATTGTTTTGTTTCTTTTTTTTTAATTGAAATCTCTAATCCTTCTGGAATTTATTTTGATGTAAGGTTTTGTGTTTGTTTAATATGAACTCTGTTTTTTGTAGGATAATATTTTTTTTTAAAGAGAAAAGCTTTCTTACTAATGTCTTTACTTAAAATTTAGGAACTTGGTTAAAGTATGGACATTTGGAAAATTTGGGATATTCTAGTTTTTGATTCACTTGGCCACCTAATACAATGATGATTTTACTTATTTTTAGTAACAATACTTGAAAATACAGAGTTGTGCTGCAAAAGAAATGAACAAATTAATTACTTTTTCTTGGTGATGTTTTTCCTTTGGTAACCAGGTGAGATAATGGATAACCTTACCTTAGAAGCTGGAGATGATGCTGGAAAAGTGAAGTGGGTGGAGATCAATGATAAACTCAAGCTTTATGCCAGTCACTCTCAGTTCATCAAACTTGTGGCAGAGAAACGAGATGCGCACTGGAGTGAGGACTCTGAAACTGACTGCCATGGGTTATAGCTCACAGTCTCCATGTATGCCAAAGGCCAGCAAAGGAACATGTACTGATAAGGCAATATCACAGAACTCATACTAGAAAGGGGGCAGGGTAGGTGACTTAGAAATTATTTTATTCACTTTCAAAATGATTTTCATTTAGAAAGTTTTACATCAGAATAAAATTAGTAAATACAGTGAAATGCAGCACAATTTTTTGCTTTCTAGTCAAGAGAACTATAAACAACCATATTTTGTATGTATTCTATTAAAGCATGCCTTAAAGCAAATTTAAACAACTTTGATGCTCTTTAAAGAATTGTAATCTGAATAAAGACAGGTTTCTGATCAGCCGTACTTCTGCTTTCTATCTGGTTCTTGTCTGTCAGTTCTTTTTTTTATTGTTTCCCCCTTATCTTCTGTGGTCTGAAGGATGTTCCTGCCACATCAAGCTCCTCTAGGAGGAGTACCACAATTGTCTAATCTAATTTATTTTTTAATTATTTGCTTCACATTTTGCTTTATATGATCTTGTTGAAGCTGATTTAGAAAATGGAACCCTTATGTATTCTTGTCTTCAGAGCCTTCAGTTTTATGAAGAATTTTCAACACTCTTAGTTGATATATAAAGATCAAGATCAATGAATAAGAGCTTATGTTCTCATTTTCAAAAATTCTGAATTAAAAAATTAACCAGGAAATTAGTAATTTAAATACATTTATTTTACTCTAATTGTACATGTCACAAATCAATTAAAATAGATGTTCAGAAAAGAGTTGAAATCAGACGAAGACACAGGTCTTTGGGAGTTGAAGTATTTTTTTGTTAGGAAGAGAATGTTAAGGATTCAAATAGGTTTTCGAGGCTCACTGTTAACATAATTTCCACAGGAAAGGGGAAAGAATTGGTGTTCTAGGTGCTCTTGGAAGCCTGGAAGAAGGGAAATAACAAACACTGCCTTGTCTCAGTGTAAATGTATATTACATTCTGGCTAAGATATTCATTTGGAAAGTCCTATGACGTTAACTCCTGTCAACCTGAAGGAGGGACTGAAAGAATTCTATCTTTGTTCCAGTTGGACCGCAGATGGGGCATTGGAAGAAAAGGGGGTTGAAGGGAAAACGACATGGTTGTTGTCTTTTCTTTAGACATTCGAAAAAGGTATTAGGCTTGTATTAGGCTTACTCTGTAGCTAGAAGACAGAAATAGAGCTAAGGTAAATCAAGAGTTTTGTTTGTTTGTTTGTTTTGACTTAGTGTCAAACTCCTTTGGTGGTAAACCTGAACTGAAAAGACAGGAAGCTTTTTTCCCCTTAGTGTGACTATCAGTTTTACTGAAAAACATCAGAATGTTTGGTTTCAGAACTCTGCCTTAAATCCCTCTGGAAGAGTTATGTGTAGTATTTTCTAAAATCCATAAAATCCTTGGCTCTGGGTCTATAATAAGGGACTTGTACTTGACAAGGATGACATACCCATTGAGTGAGGGGTAGGATGGCCTTCTCCCGGCATGAAAGTGTCTGATTACACTGCTATTGTTTGGCAGGAAGAAACTGCCTGACTTGTTCTCAGTCAGGAACAGTGACTCAAGGTAGTGTTTATTCTCTTAGGAGATCTTTTTCTGTTTTCTTGACTTAAGTAGGATCACTAGGAGAAAAATATTCTTATCAATGTAGGGCAGTTCTATAAATTATTCTGTCAGGATTCTTTCCAGGATGGGCTGTGGCCAACAGTGCTTTAAAGTTCAGAAAAAGTATAAATATGTATTAATTGTTCAGATATGGTAATTTGAATGAGTCGCGTGTGAGGAGTTAATATTTTCACTAAAAGAGATCTTGGAGCTAAATCCATACATTTACCCAAGATCATACAGATAATTGGAAAGATGAGATTAGAATCTAGGCTTTTCAACTACAGGCTGGTGCTCTTTTAGCCATGTTTTGATACAAAGATGAATTTGCTAATTTTGTAATTACCAGTAACTAATCATTGAAGGTAGTTTCCGGACACATTTTTAGTTAGAAATATGCTAGAATTTTAAGATTTTCCATTTGAAGTTGGACTATAATATTGATTAAACAGACTGGATTATGGGAGGAGAACTTAGCTATTTGAACTCAAAAGACTTAGGTTCTTATTTAGTTAGGCTCAGAAGCTACCTGTTTGACCTTAAAATTTCTGGGACAGTTTATTCTTCAAGATGGTTGACTTTAAATAGTCTGTATTGAAAAATCCTGAAAATTTATATCAAGCACGCAGATGATTTAGGCCTTTCTGACATTAAAAAAAAAAATACTGCATATTCCTGATTGTAAGATACTATCAACTGTAAAATGTACCATTTAGTTAAGATAGTATTTTAAAGAAAAAGATCCTCGCTGAAATGTATGTATCTGTTGTGAAATGTGTCTTGATTTCAGAAAATGTATAAGTGTGATAAGTATTTTACAGACTGGAAAATAGAATTTTTTAATGTTATCTTGTAACTTCATTCAAGTATTTCTCCTATATTTTCATAAACTCAAATTCTGAGTAACTTATTGTATCAATAAATGGCCTCAACTAAAAAGTTGAATGATGTGCAATTCAGTAAAAGAGTTATCTGTTGGGATTTAAATTTGATAATCTTCAATGTATTATATGTTTATACTAATATTTTGTTAGTGAAGAAATAATCGAGTCTATTTCATCTCTCCTAAAATAATTATTTGTAACTCAAAGCCTTTTGACTCTTCACTTTCACCCTCATCAATGGTAGAAGAGGTTGTTTTATTGATTTATAGTTTGGATGAATTGAATAAATGAATGTAGAATTGTTCACAGGCATTGAAATGGTTTTTTGGCTTTAAATTTAACAGCTATGCTTTATTTTATTTTTAAGTGGATTGGAAAATAAAGACAGTAATTTTCATGATGAACTGGCTCATCTTATATAGGGTATTGAAAGTAATATTTTTATAAATGTTATAGATTAACAGACTAGAATATATTGCTATAAGACCATTAAAAAAGAAAAAAAAAAAAAAGACCATTCATTAAGTGTCAGGACCTAAAAGGAAACAATCAAATAATAAAGGAGTTGTAGTTCAGCATTTTATCTATCTTTTCTGTTATACATTTTATATTAGCTTTATTAATGAAAACATGCTTTTTATAATTCTTAGCATTTCTAAAATTATATCATTAAGATTCATATAATATTTTAAGTAACTCCCTACAACCCCCCATTTTCTTTTGTGGGCTCCAAACATAGCAGGGACTTCTTGAAAAGATCATTAAACTTATACTTACTAGGTTGGAAAAAGGCTATATTTTGGGACCACTTCTTTATGAAAGAAAATAATTTCATTTCCTATACTTGTAGAAAAAATTGGAATTAATATACTATAGTATACATAACTTATTTTTTGGTTTGTGCTTGAGTCAGTCGTCATATGTAGTTATCCCTTATTCAATACATTCTTGTCAAAAGTAAAATTTAAATAATCCTATTATACCATGACCTTAACCTTAAATCTAGTTCAAAGCCACCTAGGACAGATTCCATTTAAATAAAAATGCCTTTTTCCCTCATTAATGGCAGACATAAACATAAAATTTAAGAAGTGAAATGGACTTTATAAAGAAATAATTTTTACTATTTTATATTCTAGAAGAAAGTGAGGCTCAAAGGAGCTTAAGATACTCCAAAGTACTAAATAGCAGAGCTTGCATCCCCAAGTTGACTTCAAATGCTTTTTCTACTGGTTTCTCCACACATGATCAAGAAAAGTTTCAGGTCTTAGGTCAGTTTTCAAAAGTATGTGAGATTTGTACATCAAATCACTTAAATCAGATAAAATGTAAGTAACTAAAGGTCTACAAAAGGGAATGGTAACCATTAATTCTTGGTCTCAAATTTCTTTCTGATAAAATCTAAAAAAATTTTGTTTTAGTTTTGTATTCATTTAAATACTTTCTTAAAGGAAACTTAAAGTATAATTACCTGATTTGGATCTTAAGGAAAAGGAAAAAGAAGAGAAATTGGAAACTACAAAGACAGATGAAAAAAGTGAATTGTGAATAAAAACAAAATGTGAGCATTTTGTTTTTGGCTTTTTTCCTCATTCATCGACTCCATCCATCCATCCATCCATCCATCCATCCATCCATCCATCCATCCATCCATCCATCCATCCAGTATTTATTCAGCTATTAAACGCTCTCAATGAGCCTATCTTCTATTTGGTAGAGCTTAAATTCTAGTAGATTTTAAATAATTTTTTTCTTTCAAGAGTTATGTTTATTTTGCTTAGTCAAACCTAAAGCCCAGTAATCTGTCTTATGTGTTGATAATTCTTGCAAATCCATCAGTTTCACCAATTTATTCTTTGCCTGATTTTTAATACTCTCCTCCTATCTGGTGGAAGAAATAGTTTTGATTTCAAATACTAGTGATTTTTATTTTTGCCACATAGATTTACATAATTTTATACATAAGATGTTCACAGAGAGTTCTAAATTCTAATTATAAACCAAGACTTCAGGAGTTTGCATTAATTTGAAGCAAATCTTACTGAGTTTCAGCCACAAAAGGGGTAAACAATGCACCTAGACATGACAAGAACCAAAATAATTAGCAGTCAATTATAAATGCAAGTACTTAGAAATTTAGTAGCTAAGATTCAATTAAGATGTGAAAATACTAAACAGGGTCAGTGATCTCATTAAGAACTGTAACTTTAGTGACAAATTTCCGAAGTCCTACTTATGTTGTAGCCACCACGCCTCGAAAGACACATGGACCACCAGCAATCAGTGAGTT